GTCAAACAAGTTGCAGTTCGGTCAGGGAGCCCCAAACCTATCAATAAAAGGCCTATACCTGGCACAAGCACTAGCCTTCCTTGCTTCACAGCTGGGCCTCATCAGGGCACTTCCAAACTCCATGCAAAGAGGAGAATCTGCAGATCTCTCTGTAGATGCTGCTGGGTGGCTCCAGGCAGAGGCTGACTTTACACCTCCCTGGAGACCCAAGAGCCAGTGTACCCAGTGGTCAGTGTCATACCACAGCAGCTTAAAACTCCTCACATCCATAAGACATACACTCAAGGGGCAGACTCACTGACCACCAAAGCCCTACTAATGCATGTCATGCTCCATAGGCGTGTCTCCTGCACAGCAGCTCTCCCACTGTTGTCGTAGTTACACCCATTAATGCTGAAATCCTCAAGAAGGGTCCTAGGTACAACTCCGGCCAGGGCATGATTTCCTTTCACCAGGTAGGGGAAGTTTCTGTTAGTATTTCGTCTTTTTTTTTAATTTTCCTCAAGAAAATTCCGGCAAATCAGATCCAGCAATATATTAGAAAGATCATACACCATGACCAAGTGGGATTTATTCGGGGGATGAAAGATTGTATAATATCTGCAAATCAATAAATATGACACAACATATGTACAAAATGAAAGATAAAAATCATTTAAGCATATCAATTGATGCAGAAAAAGCATTTGACATAATCTGACAGCCTTTCTTGATAGAACGCTCAGCAAAGTGGGAGCCCAAGGATCACACCTCAACATAGTAAGAACCTTATATGACAAACCCACAGCCAACATCATATTCAAACATCATACTCATTCAGCAAAAACTATAACCATTTTCCCTAAGAACAGGAACAAGACAGGGATGCCCACTTTCACCACTCCTGTTTGATATAAAACTGTAAGTGCTAGCCAACAATCAGACAAGAAGCAGAAATTAAAGGCATCATAACTGGAAAAGAAGAAAACCGTCATTATTCAAAGATGACATCATATTGTACATAAAAAACCCTAAAGACTCCATCAAAACTACTAAATTTTTTTTTTTTAAACTACTAAATTTAATAAATACATTCAGAAATGTGGCAGGATACAAAATTAACCACCAGAAATCTATGGCTTTTTTATACACCAATGACGAACTCAGAAAAAGGGAAACAAACAAACAAACAAAAAATCCTATCTACCATTGCAACAAAAAAATTAGGATACCTAGGAATAAACTTAACTAACTAGGTAAAAGACCTGTATGCCGAAAACTATAGGAAGTTGAAAAAAAGAGATACAAGAAGATATAAACAAATAGAAAAATATACCGTGTTCATGGACTGGTAGAATCAACATGATTAAAATGTCAATACTACCCAAAACAATCTGCAGATTCAATGCAATCCCCAGAACAGAGAATCCAAAATCGACCCAAGCCATTATCCTCAACATCTGTCAAACGAGACAACAGCATACAATGAAGTCAAGATAGTCTCTTGAATAAATGGTGTTGGGAAAATTGGACAGATACATGCAAAAAAAAAATAAACTACACCACCAACTTTTATCATAAATCTGTAAACTTAAGATGGGAAACAATAAAAATCTTAGAAGAATCCGCAGGCAGCAAAATATCAGCCATATATCCTAGCAATGTCTTTACGGATACAGCTCCTAGGGCAATGAGGGCGAACCTATGACACGTGTGTCAGAGGTGACACGCGAACTCATATTTTTGTTTGATTTTTCTTTGTTAAATGGCATCCTATCTAATAATAGACAAACATGGTAATTGAGCATACCTTCGCTATGCCTCCATTGGCTAATCAGCGTGATAAGCAAATTAACCAACAAAGATGGTGGCTAATTTGCATACATAGGCGCCAAGAGGCAGAGAGAAGTCTGAAGGCGGCTCCAGCTGGAGCAGCGAAGGCCTGGGTCCGTGGTGCAGGAGGAAAACCGGTGCCGGCAGCCAGGGAAAGGGAAGACCTACTGCACAAATCTTTTCGTGCAACAGACCTCTAGTTGAAATATAAATAATAAACATCAAAAATATAAATGTTTGTTTTACTATGGTGAGAGATATCAAAAAATTTCTATATGTGACACGGCACCTGAGTTAAGTTAGGGTTTTTCAAAATGATGACACACCGAGCTCAAAAGGTTCACCATCACTGTCCTGGGGTAATGGAAACTAAAGAAAAAATGAACAACTAGAACTATGTCAAGATAAAAAGCTTCTGCACAGCCAAAGAAACCATAAACAAAACAACAAGAAAGCCCACTGCATGGGAGAACACATTTGCCAATGTTATATCCGATAAGGGTTTACTCTGCAAAATTCACATGAACTCATATATGGTAAGAAAAAGAAGGTAAACAATCCAATCAAAAAATGGGCAAAGGACCTAAATACACACTTTTCGAAAGTGGATATACAGAAAGCCGAGACATATAAAAACATGCTCAAAGCCACTTATCCGAGAGACGCAAATCAAAACGACAATGAGATATCATCTCACACCTGTCAGGATGCCTATCATCAACTAATCAACAAAGGACAAGGTGCTGGCAAGGATGTGGAGAAGAGGAACCCTTGTGCTCAGCTGGTGGGAATGCATACTGGTACAGACACTGTGGAATATAATGTAGAGTTTCCAAAAAATTAAAAATGGAACTCCCAATTGACCCATCTAGGAAAATATCCCAAGAAATGAAAAACAGCCCTAGATGGTTTGGCTCAGTGGATAGAGGGTCAACCTGCAGGTTGAAGGGTGCCAGGTTCGATGCCGCCCAAGGCAACATGCCACGCTGTGGCTCCCAGTAGGGTGCATGCAGAACACAGAGATCAATGATTCTCTCCTATCATTGATGTTAATCTCTCTCTCCCTCTCCTTCCCTCTCTCTGAAATCAATAATGAAATATTTAAAAAAAAGAAATCAGAAACACCAATCAGAAAGGACATATGCACCCCTATGTTCACAGCAACACAATTTACAATAGCTAAGATTTGGAAATAGCCTACCTGCCCATCAGTAGATGAGTGGATTAAAAAACTGTGGTACATCTACACAATGGAATACTAGGCTGCTGTTAAAAAGGAGGAACTCTTACTATTTGCAACAGCATGGATGGAACTGGAGAGCATCATGCTAAGCAAAATAAGCCAGGTGGAGAAAGATAAATATCACATGATCTCCCTCATTTGTGGTCAATGAGGGAAAACTGCGACATATGTAATACCATATATATTACTTTAAACAATAAAGAATTTTTAAAAAAGAAATATTGTGAAAATATCCATACTACACAATGCAATCTACAGATTAAATGGAACCCTGAGGATAATTCTTATGGTATTTTACAAAGACATGAAAAGAGAACCTTGAAATGTATAGAACTAAAAAAATGTGAATATTAAAAACAATCGTGAGTGAGAAGCAAGCTGGTAGCATCACACTTCCTGACTTCAATTTCTTACAAAGACAAAGCAAGAAAACATTGTGTTACTGAAGAAACACAGACATATACATCAACAGAAGAGAACAGAAAACACAGAAATAAACCCAGACACATACTTTCAAGTAATCTTTGTCAAAACTGCAACACAGCCGAAACCGGTTTGGCTCAGTGGATAGAACGTTGGCCTGCAGACTCAAAGGTCCCAGGTTTGATTCCGGTCAAGGGCATGTACCTGGGATACGGGCACATCCCTAGTAGGATGTGTGCAGGAGGCGGCTGATCAATGTTTCTCTCTCTCTCTCTCTCTCTCTCTCTCTCTTCCTCTCTGTAAAAAAACCAATAAAATATATTTTTAAAAAATGAAATAAAAATAAGAGAAAAGTAAAATGTTTAAAAAAAACCTGCAAGACAGAGAAGAAGGGAAAGGTAGTTTCTTCAATGAATGGTGCTGCTGAAAATCAATACTCACATGGAAACAGAACAATACTGGACACCACTGATAAAATTTAACACAGCATGCATAACAGAATTGAATATCAGCGCTAAAACTTAAAATGCCTAAGGACAACCCAGAGAAAAAGTGTTGGAGATTTGTTATGACATGATTTTCTGAATGTGACACCAACCACCAACAAAAAACAAAACCAAACAGTCGAGATGGCAACAAATAAAGAAAAAAGCTTCTTCACAGCACAACAGCAATACACAAACTGAAATGAAAGGAAATCGAGAGAACAGAAGAAAATAATTGCAAATCCTATGAAGGGATTGCTTGGAGAGATTGTGGATTCAGTTCTGATCAGCACAATAATGCAAATATTGAGATATAGACAGAAATTCAGTCAAATAGTTGCAGTTCCCAGGGAATAATAAAGTTATGTTAATACTATATTGGAGGCTAATAACAATGCAATGACTTGTCTGAAAACCAAACTCGATATAACTTCATTAAAAATACTTTATTGCTAAGCACTAGCAACAAGCATCTGAGCTTGCCAAAAACATGGTGGCACTAGACCTGCTGAACGCAGGGTTGCCAAAAACATGGACTTTGTAGAAAAGCGAGTGTGGGGAGCAATATCAGCAAAGCACAATTAAACACATGCAAAAATATGTGTTCCTGTATGTAATAAGCAATTAATATATAAAATATACAGGGTAGTTAGAACACTCTTTAACCAAAAAATACAGTTAAGAAACAGGATAAGGATGTAGAGACAATTCTCCAAAAAATATGTACAAATGACCAACAAGAATATAGAAAATGTTTTCCTCACTGATCTAGGTGGAATCTCTGAGGCTTCCTGTAACACTACCAATCACAAGTCCTTCCCTGTGAATTTAGTACAGCGGGGAGTATTGGAGCTTCAGGAATAGAAGGGAGCAGTGGAAACAGACCAACCCTCCACAGGACAGCAACTACCTAAGAAACTGGAAAAACAAGCAGTACCACAGTCTACAGGGAAGGACAGAGCACACCCTGGGAGATGGGGCCTGGGAAACCTCAAAGCCAAGTCCAGGTCTCTGGTGAGACTGAGGGAGGGTCTTACCCAGCGAGGATATAAGTTCAAAGTTCTCCAGCATCACATTCAGGTACAGCTGTCTCTGACCCTCATCAAGGAGGCTCCATTCCTCCCTGGAGAAGTACAGGGCAATGTCCTCAAAGGTCACGCCAACCTGTCAGAATGGAGACAATTAAAACCAGAGCTGCCTTTCTGAGAATCAGTAACTACTCCTTACACAGCTTCACCACCCCTCAACCTCCTCCAGGGCACCCGGGTTAGTGTGGATACAAGGCCCTAATGCTCATCACAGTCCCATTACTAACTGTGATGGCCCTCAGCAGAGCAGCTGGGTCCGATGGAAAGCATTGGGGGAGGGGAGGGGAGAGGGCAATGCCATTTAAGTATCTGGGAAATGCCTGCAGAGCCCCAGTCTTCCTGCCAAGCAACACCACTGCAGACTCCTAGATCCTGCCACCAAGACAAAGCCAAGTGTCGGTTTATGCTTCGCCTTTAAGTCCCCACACCAGGTCCTGGGAACCGTAAGCTCACACTTCCTCCAGATGTGCACACCACTGGGTAATGTTTATCCCCTTCCCATGTTCAGATCCCAGGTTCACTCCCTCAGCTCTGCCCCCTTCCTGCTCCAATGCCACCGGATCTCGCTGGACTCACCCATGAACTTGGCATATGGCGTGTAGAGAGCTTGGAGTCCAGCCGGATCCAGGACCACCACAGGCCCTGATGGACCCCACAGCCCGGAAAGCCCCGAATGAGGCTGTGCCGTCCTCCTGCAGCCTCTGCTCTTTCCGTCAATACTCACAGCCACATCCTCAGGGAACTTCAGATGCAAGTAACCCCTGTCCTCTCTGCCCTGCACCTGCTGTGTCCTCAGAAGCCACAACACTCCTCTCTCCCCTCCACCTTCCTCACGGTCCTCCACGCGGGACTGAGCTGCAGGACGGGACATGCGCCCTCCCCAGGCTGTGGTGTGTGTGTGAGGAGGCGGTGAGGGCCTGGGGGACACAAACTCACCTCAGCCCGTCTCCTCAGCGGGGGCGCCGCCATTGCCCTCTGTGGGCTGAGTGGGCGGGAGTAGAAGCCGCTGCAGGAATGGCGGTTCCTGTCCCGGCCCTGGCGTGCGTTCGGGTGGCGACTCCGAGCTTCAATCCCACGTGGGGGCTGCGAGCACCACTGGAGGCTCCGACCATTGGCTGTGAGGCGGGGAGCCCCACTCTCCGGCCTTCTCCAAGGGACTGCGGACACGGAAAACCTCTCCACCTGCGACAAAAATCTGAGAAGACGAAATGCTGCCACGAGCATTACCGGTCCCGCCCTCCCGAAGCGCCCAAACGGAAATGCCTTCTCTGACCCTCCATTGGCTCCGCCTGATGCCACTCCAGGCTTGGCCTTCTGGGTAATGTAGTTTCTAAGCGCCAAGGGCAGGATCCAGTATTTCTCAGTTGACTCTAGGACTGGATTTAGGGGCAAATAGCCCAAGAACACACCAAGTACACGCAGGGTCCTCTAGCGCCTTCAGGGGAGGTGATTTCCGAGGCAAGTTTGCTTCTCCTGCACCTGAAGGGCTTTCTTTAGCTGCGGTTTTGCATATATTTGTTCAGGACTTGCTGTTTCTGAAGGGCAGGCATTGTTTCTTCATTCAAGACTTTTGGCATGTGTTTCCCTGGGGCCATATGTATCTGGAGGAGGTTGTTCAAGACTCTAACTGCCCTAACCTGCCTCCATTGAATCCATTATACAAAGTTAAGGTCACAAAACAGACGCTCATACTTAAGGGCATCTGCTTCTGATGCCATCCAAAGTGTCAGCTCTGCCTGGGCTGCAGTGTGGATAAGATGGTCAAGAAACATATGAAAAGATGCAAGATATTGAAAACCCATTTGAAGAAATAATGACAGAAAACTTCCCCTACCTGGTGAAAGTAATAGACTTACAAGTCCAGGAAGCGCAGAGAACCCCAAACAAAAGGAATCCAAAGAGGACCACACCAAGACACATCATAATTAAAATGCCAAGAGCAAAAGACAAGGAGAGAATCCTAAAAGCAGGAAGAGAAAGAAAATCAGTTACCTACAAGGGAGTACCCATACGACTGTCAGCTGATTCCTCAACAGAAACTTTGCAGCCCAGAAGGGGGTGTCAAGAAATATTCAAAGTGATGAATACCAAGAACCTACAACCAAGACTACTTTATCCAGCAAAGCTATCATTATTGTTCAGATTATTACAGTTGTTCCTCTTTTCCCCCCCATAGCTCCCCTGCACCCATTTCCCACCCCACCTTCCACCCTCACCCCCCACCCCACTGTCCTCATCCATAGGTGCACGATTTTTGTTCAGTCTCTTTCTGCATGCCGCACACCCCTTTCCCCCCCAAGAATAGTCAGTCCACTCCCTTTCTATGCCCCTGATTCTATTATAATCACCAGTTTATTCTGTTCATCAGATTATTTATTCACTTGATTCTTAGATTCACTTGTTGAGATTCATATTTGTTGTTCATAATTTGTATCTTTACCTTTTTCTTCTTCCTCTTCTAAAAGGATATCTTTCAGCATTTCATATAATACTGGTTTAGTGGCGATGAACTCCCTTAGCTTTTACTTATCTGTGAAGCTCTTTATCTGACCTTCAATTCTGAATGATAGCTTAGCTGGATAAATTAATCTTGGTTGTAGGTTCTTGGTATTCATCACTTTGAATATTTCTTGCCACTCCCTTCTGGCCTGCAAAGTTTCTGTTGAAAATCTGCTGACAGTCGTATGGGTACTCCCTTGTAGGTAACTGAGTTTCTTTCTCTTGCTGCTTTAAGATTCTCTCTTTGTCTTTTGCTCTTGGCATTTTAATGATGATGTGTCTTGGTGTGGTCCTCTTTGGATTCCTTTTGTTTGCGGTTCTCTGCGTTTCCTGGACTTGTAAGTCTATTACTTTCACCAGGTAGGGGAAGTTTTCTATCATTTCTTCAAATAGGTTTTCAATATCTTGCCCTCTCTCTTCTTCTGGCACCCCTATAATTCGGATGTTGGTAGGATTAAAGCTGTCCCAGAGGCTCCTTACACTATCGTCGTATTTTTGGATTCTTTTTTCATTTTACTTTTCCGGTAAGGTGTTTTTTGCTTCTTCATATTTCAAATCTTTGACTGGATTCTTGGGATTCTCTAGTCTGCTGTTGGGAGTCTGTATAATATTCTTTATTTCAGTCAGTGTATGCTTAATTTCTAGTTGGTCCTTTATCACAACCTCGACGGTCTCATTAGATTTCTTGAGGGTCTCATTAAGTTTATCGGCGGTTTCTAGAAAATTCTTAAAAAACCTTCAAAGTGTGGTTTTGAACTCTATATCCAGTAGTTTGCTTTCCTCTATTTCTGTCATTTGTGTCCTGTTTCTTTGTCTCCATGTTTTTTTATTCTTCACTGTGTCGATAGAGTCGTTTTCTATGCTAGGTGTCCTATAGGGCCCAGTGGCTCAGCCTCCCCAATTACCAGAGGGAGACACTCTTGCTGCACCCCCTTGTGGGCTTTGTGCACAGTCTTGTTGTAGTTAAGCCTTGATTGTTGTAGGTAACACTGGGAGTGACTGTCTTGCAGGCCAATTGGCTGTGAGAGTCACCTGTGTCTGCAGTGGGAGAACTTCTGTGCTGGAGACACCCCTCCGAGGCAAGACTTGCTTCAGTGGGGCTTGGGTGCTCACTGAGTCTGCCCCCTGAATGTGTCCCTTATGGATCTGAGGAGTTGTAATCTGGATGGTCCCACTTGGACCACTGGGCACACTGGCTCCTGGATCTCTAAGGAGGTGCTAATCTAGCCTCTGCCTGAGTCCACCCAGTGGGAGTCACCTGTGATGCAATGCAAGTTGCCCTGGGGCCTTGGGCCAGCTGCAGATTGTTAGGTAATTATCAGGTTGCAAAGGGCCAGACCTTTCATATGTAAAAGCCTCCTTGCAGGGCTTGGTTGGGGCAGGTCTCCAGGGATCAACAGGGTGGAACAAGCAGCTATGGCTGCCCTCAGAGGCCCCACTTCTCAGTGTCCGGGCAATCGCTGCAAGCACCCCTGAGAGAAAGCTGCCCTCGAGTTCGGACCAATTCCAGACGGTATAGTTTCTCCTGTATGAGTCTGGGTCCCCAGAGACTCACCCAGATATGGAGCTCAGAGATTGAGACTCCCTCCCGGTTGAAAAAGACAACCCTGTCCTCAGGCGCCAGTCCTCTCTGCATGTGCCTCTGTAGCTCTGTATTTTACTTCCACACCACACCTCCTCTGAGTCTCAGTGCTTTTCTCTTTCCTTCTAGTTGTAGAATTTCCACTCAGTGAGCCTTCCTGTGGTTCTGTATGATGTCCGTTACTTCTTTTAGTTGTATTTTTGAAGTGTTAGTGAGAGGCAGCAATTTCTGGTGTTTACCTACGCTGCCATCTTGGTTTCTCAGCTGAACAAGATATTTTTAAGGCTACATTCTTGCTATATCTCCTCCCTGCTTTTGTCACACCTCAGAGATACTTGGCACCAAGGACCTCTTGATTATAATCAATGACAATGACTGCTCCACAGAAGATAAACAAGCCTGGATTTCCTCTGATTTGTGTACAAAGGTCTCCTGTCGTCTTTTCTTCAAAATAAATTTCTGGGTGCAGCTTTAGATGAAGTCCATTCCTTCTAATGGAATTAGGTGAGTGTTTCTGCAGTGAAGTAACTGAACAAAATGGCAAACACCATCATCTGAAAAGCCACCTTCACCAACAGTCAGAAAATGTTGTGTGTGGATAGTCAGTTAGGGTAGATGGTGAGGAAAAGCACAGTAAGGAACTCAGTTGTGGCTCAGTGTGCTGTGCACTGTGGTGACAAATTGTACTCAAAAGGACTGTTCCACTGTAACTGGTTTGGCTCACTGGATAGAGCATCAACCAGAGGACTCAAGGGTCCTGGGTTCAATTCCAATCAAGGGCATGTACCTTGGTTGTGAGTACATCCCCAGTAGGGAGTGTGCAGGAGGCAGCTGATCGATGTTTCTCTCTCATCGATGCTTCTAACTGTCTATTTCTCTCCCTTCCTCTCTGTAAAAAATCAATAAAATATATATATTTTTTAAAAAAAGGACTCTGTTCCAACCCAGAGATGCATGGTGCAGACACAGGAGAATGGGAAGGAAGACTTGAGTCCAGAACATGACCTGGGCTGCAGGGAAACCATGGTGAGAGCCATTGTCTAATTTAGCCAGTAGGCATACAGGGACAGAATCACATCACCAGTAGGTACTAGCATGAATGACGTGAGCACCTCCAATGAGACAGATTCATGTAGGACTCCAGCATCACTTGGGAATATATCAGGTCCCAAATTCATGTCCAATTGTATCTACTCCTGCAGGGTGAATGTCAGTGCCACATAGGAACATCGTTTGAAGGGTCAAAATGAGGCAAGAAATTCATCTCAGTGGATGGGGTGACAGCATAACACCCAACATGTGTGTGAAGGTACAGGGACCAGACCAAATTACCCAGGTCTCATGTGGGTCAAACTCTGTTCTGGGATCAAAGGGAAGTAGACAAGCAGCAGCTCATGCTGAAAGCAGGACTCCCTGGAAAAACCACTGCAGCTGAGGAATCATAGCATTGCCCTGAACAAGGTGAGGCCAAGGGTGTAAAGGGAATGGGAGGAAATGCATAACTGCAACCATGGAAACAGGAGCTTCAGCTGAGACACCCAGGTCCTCAGACTGTACCTGCAACAGTGAGTGATGCACATCAGTGGTAGAGACTGTGTCTGACCTGGAGGAAACAATGGGTTAAAATCCAGCTCTTGAATCTGACACTTGTCTGTGGTGTAAACTTGGAGAGCTGACATCATTTCTCAGATACTGAATATGTTGAGGAAGTTGATATGAGTTTCTACTTGTCCAGGTTGTTGTGAGAATTAAAAGAGAAAATGCTCAAAAATCGAACCCTGCAATCCTGGCATCAGGTAGTGACCTTGTTACTTTTATTGATCTGGGAAGGCCAGAGTAAATGCCATCAATCTTCTGCATGTCACTTTCAGCCAACTGAGATTCAGGGAGCGCTAGTGAGGCTGCTGGAGATTCCCAGGTGGGGCCCACCACAATGAGACCTGAGTGCCCACAGCACCTGCCTCCCAGGAGCAGTTAGTGGCTTCTTTAGGTGCCATTTCTTACTAAAATGCACCCAAAGATAAAGGTGCTTATGGGCATCAGGGCAGTGAGTAGTGTCTGGCCTGGGGAGGTATTTGCAGGAAGAGGCTGGAGTTGTAAGGAGTCGGAGACTGAGAAAAATCAATGCTGAGAGAGAATTATTGATCAGCTGCCTCCT